TTCTCGCTATTGTTTTAAATCATCCGTCTTGACTTGCGTATTGAGAGCTTGCCTCGTGACCAATAGCTCTCCTACAATATATTCTACTTTCTCCTCATCACTAATCTCTTCTAACGTTGTCTTGTCGTCATACTCACCTTCACTTTTGCTCACCACCTCTCCATTGTCCCACACCACCATCGACCGTTTGTTTGGACACTGAGAAGCGATGTGTCCCAACCCCAAGCACCTAAGATATTTAATGTCCCTACTCCTCGATGGTTTTAACTCTGTCTTGTGTATGACTTTGCTAGCACCTACTTCCTTTCCCTTTTGTAACTCAGTTTTACCCTTAGAAACAGCTTCATTCCTTTTTTTGTTATCCCACTTTGGTTTCCAAGATGGATTAGAAGCCTAAGTCTGATTAGTGTCTAAAAGTGATTCAAAGATATATCATTTACAAGGCATTTTACATTCACTTTGTTTAAAAAGACTAATGTTAGTCTCTAATTTCAATTCTGTTGCCGTAAATTCAATTTCCATAAATACATGGTTAAAAATGCAATTAATTGAAATATGTATTTACATACAATTCGGCATGAGTATTATACATTTGAAAGAGTATCTCTTTGATGTATTTCACATGTATTTCCAATTTAGAACAAGTGGAGGAAAAAAATGTTGAAAAGTCAAAAATAGTGAACTGTCTCAAGCAAGAAGTAGCTGTCGGTAAAATGATCATAACTTGAGCTCCAGACATTGAACCAAGGTGTTTCAATTTGGGTTGGAAAGATGAGGCATGTATCTACAACTTTCATGTTTTACAAGAAGTCAAATTCGTAACACAAGGCAGCCAAAATTACCGTGCAAAGTCCAGCTTGTTACCTGTCGGATACAGCTTTTCTACCTGTGAAGCAGTACTCATTGTTTTTATCATATCTGGAGTTATATAGATCCAATGAACCTGATATTTGTACCAATGAAAAGCTAACTCAAGTGGAAATAATTTATCTGCTGATCATAAGTCTAGATTTATTGTACAAAGTATCTGAAAATTGGCATCAAGTTGCATATTCTAGCTGTCTTGAAGCTGGACAGAAATAAGTTGCATTGTCCACTTGCATTTTGGATGTTCCTTTGCCTATAAAGGAGACCTTGGCCATGATTTTGAGAGCATCAATTCCTCACCATCATATTATAGTTTTCTTCATTTTATTTGTAGCATTTAATTATGTATTTCTAAACCATTAGCTAGAGCTAGGGGTGAAACTTTGATGAATGTGTAGTATTGTCTTTGATCTTTCTCTTTGTTCTTCAATGTTCATCTTCTTACTTGGTTGAAGTATATGTTCTACAAATGGTTTTGATTTGTTAAAGACTTTGATTTATTGTTGACAATTTTGGCACAATAAATGCTTAGATAATCTCTACATACCAACAACTTATTTTTGACATATTCTCTCAAACAATTATCAAGATCTATCTTTTAGTTTATTTATGATCAATGTTTTATCTTCCATATTTCATATGAGTTGAATAAAGGATCAAGAGTAATTTCTACCCATTTATCTGAAGTGAATCCCCAACGCTCTAGCGTTCTTCTCCATCGTATTTCCGCCAACCATTTACCACTCATATAATAGATTTTTTTCCTTCCAATTCCCTGTGGTTCGACCTCGGACTTCCAAGTTTACTAATTGTGACAACCTGCACTTGGGTTTGCAACCTTAAAGTTGTAGCAAAGTCCCCATTGGTTGCCTAGCAGTCCCCTTTCTCTTCAACTGCTTCTCTACCTTCATCTCAACGTGCAACATATCTTCCAACTCCACATAATGTTGCAACTCCACTACATTAAATATGTCCCTATTTAACCCATTTAGAAACGAGCCACAATGGCTTCGCAATCCTCCTCCACGTTTACCCTGATCATCAATATCTCCATCTCTTCATGATAATCTTCTACACTCTTCAACCCCTGATATAAGCTCTGCAATTTTTTATGGAATTTACTATAGTAGTGACTAGGTACAAACCCACTTTCTCATCACCACCTTCAACTCATCCCAAGTGTTGATAGGGCTCTCCCTATTCCTATGCTATGAAGTGACTACTTGATCCTACCTAGCTATCGCGTAGTCAGTGAATTCCAAGACCGCTATCATAACCTTCTTTTCCTCCAAGTAGTTATGGCACTCAAAGATTAATTCCATCTTCTTTTCCTACTCTAGCTATGCTTTGGGATCACACTTACCCTTAAATGGCAGAATTGACATTTTGATATTGCCCATATTACCATCTAACTCGTCTCCATGATTTCATATCTCAATCCCTTCATATGCATCTTCATCCAATTCCCTACTGTATTCAAATGTCTCCCACCTTTCCATCCTAGGCTCCATTCTACTCGGCCTCCTAGCATGAGGTGTTTTCACCCGTTGCCCCCTACTAAAATTTGTAACCGATGTGTTAAACCTATCTAACTTATCTCCCATATTTGCCAACAACCCTTCAAATCTCCTCATCATATCATCCACCCCATTGATGGAATTGTCATTTCGGCTGGAATCTAAGCCTTCTCTGTCTGACATCCCAAATCTCGAATTTTTTTTTTTGCTTCACTAGTATTCGCTCGAAATCACACAATATGGCTTTTTCCCTCTAACAATCTCACCACTCTGTCTTTTACCATTTGGGGCTTTCGTCGAAGTTTTCCAAAGAACAAAGTGAACTCAAAGGAATTTGAGACTCATAGATTCTCAACCAGGTGAAAATCAAGGAATGTGGATTTAAGATACTCGACAATTGGATGGCAAATTGAATGGGAAACTAATGGGAATTCAAAGGTTAATTGACAAAACCTTAAACTAATTGACACAGGATTTTAAGTTGACTAAAAGCAATAAGCGGCTCAAAAGAAGAAAAAAATGAAAATTGTTGGTAGTAACTTGAACAATAATAATGACTTTTTTTAAACAAGAGAAACAAAAGATTTAAACTACCAACAAACCAATTAGAGTTGTTTTAGGTGCTATTTTAACCCCCCAAAACAACTTTTTGAAGAATTTGATGAAATTCAAATGGCTCAAAGACTCAATTAATGAAGAAAAACAATGACATGAAGAAGAAACGAAAGAAACACGAATTTAAAAGACTCAAACTTAAAAAGGCACGAAGAACAAAGACTCAATGAAAAAATAAAAGATATTACCTGTTAATTTGCAGCATTCACTTTGATACCAACTGATGTAAACCCGATTAGCATGGATTCTATGAACCCACAGGAGATTGAGAAGAAATCCAGAAAAGCTAAAATAACTGGCTTATGAGTTTAAATCCTAAAAAGAAAACCAAATCAAACAACCCTCAAAGAACCACACTCGGATTGTTGAACACTACAAGAATATAAATTCTTGATAAGTTCTAGATGGTCTAAGAAAATTGGAAAAGAAAGCATGAAACTCTCTCAAGGAAATTTATCCCAAATTGATTGATAATGGAATGTTGTGTGTTTATAAGAAAGATAACCTATTTATACTAATCTCAAAACCCTAAAAATCTATGAGAAAACAAAAAATAATATTCCAAGATGACAATAATTCGACCAAAATTAGAATTCTACTAAAATATGGAAATTCGCGAAAAGGAAAATAATTTGCTCCGACTTTGGCCTATGCTACCTCATCGTGTAACATGGTGCGGTCGCATGGTTCAATTGAAATAGCCTTCTTGTGTTTCGGTTAGCCACCATGCGAGGTTCTGTGGTGGCTCCAACTTCGGCTACTTGATTCGTCTATTGACCCCAACATGACAGTTGTCCCATTTTGCTCCACAAACGATGTCTCATCAATTATGGATCAAACGAGTAATCTCATCGCTTATTTCACTTGCTTTGCTCTCGACCAGTCATTGGTTCGCCTTCGATTATCAATGGGTCTCTTCCCGGGCTTGCCTTCGTCAGGCTCAGCTCTTGGATCAAAACATTTTCCTTATATGGTGAAGGGAAATTTATAGAAATACTCCTAATTTATTGAGTTAGTGAAACACTTAAATTCATCAAGGTTACAATTATCGAGTTTAGCTATCATTCGTCAAGTCCGAGGTAGATGAGATATAGGGTACAGTTTTCCTAATCATGTTAAGTTCAAATATCCAATGTGGGTTGTGGCCTAAGGTTCCAAATTAGTCTATGAATATAATCAGCTCCTAAAAGTAAAGATGATGGCCAAATGTGGAAGAAAATTTAAAAATATAAATTATTAATAACCGAAATGTATATCCAAAGTGCATATCTACATCTCTGTATGTAGAGAAAGAGAGGTATGGGGGCATCATCATTGTTTACAAGGAAGATTATCAAAGTACCAGTAAATATATGATAGAATGGAAGAAAGAACCCCATATAAACTGCTATCCTTCTAGTTATTGGTTTATTTTAATTCTTTCCTTTTCTTTGTCTATACATGCTTTTCACACAGTTCAATACTAGCAAATTAAAGAGCATCGGACTCAACTCGTTCAATGAGCCCAGTGGGAAGGTGTGGTGGGGTTGTTCAGGAGGAACTAGAATGGGGGAGATAGAATGGAGATGAGAAAGGTATGTACTTACACCACAACCATAATTTTTTTGTTTTATTATTTATAATTGTAAAATTATGTAGTTTAATTATTAAAACTTTGTTTAATTTGGGTGTAATTATGAAGTGTGTACAAAGAAAAATTTATAGTGTCTGTACAATTCCACTATAAAAGTAACTCTTTACCGTATCTTCCCAAATTATCCCTTTAAAGTATTTAAACATCCAAAGAAAAATTGCCAAATCAAATTATTAACTTAACCCTAAATTAAATCCTCAATATCAACACATAACTATACATCACAAGGGCATTTTCCTCCTTCAACCAGTATATTTAATACCTACAATGGCAGTTTTTGTAAATTTGATATAATCGATGCCTGTTTCCAAAGGTTTGAACAATATAAATAAAGGCTCAAGTCTTTCTTCCATAAGCCTATAATTTTTGGAACCCTAGCCACTCATTGAGGTTTTGAGTTTAGTCCAAAGGCTCTCTTGAAGGATCTACAAAATTATGTAAGATTTCTTGAGATTTTAATTTTGTGGGTTGGTGTAATTTATTTATTTATTATTATTATTATTATTTATTTATTTATTATTATTATTTTTTTTAATTAACTTTCTGCCAGTGGACCATAACTTTGAAGGAAGATGTGTCTGGACTGGAGAATTTAAAACCAGGATAGGGAGTTTCACTTTGTTAAGATCTGTTTGTGTTCGATTTTTCTAAAATTATCTTTCTATTAATAGACCATAACTTAGTAGGGTGGCTTTGGTCTGCAAATTAATTTTACAACTGGGATTAAAGTTTGAGATTTTTTCCCCCATTGCTGAATTTTAGAGTTATCTATTGCTTTCTGTTGAATTTCAGAATCTTTAATTTGTTTTCTTGGAAAAACGAATAAAAAGAATCGGTAATGAAGGAAAAATAAGAAGGTTTAAAATTAAAATCAAACTGTGTATTTTTTGGTTCATCTTTAGAATTAATCCCTTGATTGGATTGAAGTCTTTGTGCTTCTTGTGTATGTCAACATTCTTTAGTGTAATCGACAAATAAAATGTATGGTGTATCTAAAATAATATTGCATGTACAAGCAGAATTTTTTTTATGTGGAATGTAAATTGTTGATTGCAACGGGATCTTTGAGTTGTATGATCCCAAACAACTAATTCAACAAACAAATTGTTGAGCTGGAAGATGATGAAAAATTACCAAAGCCGCATTTCTCATCCAATAACATATTGAATCAACCTCTAGTAATATCAAGGTGAGGCTCCCCACATTTTTCGCTTTTCTAGCAATTGTTGAGCTAATTCAACAGCCAAATCTGTTATTATTGCAGAATTTCTTCTATCATCGCTTTTGCCTCTTTGCCAATCACATCCGCTCTCTCCTTTCTTCTTCTTCAATCAAGCGTATCTGTTCTCTGTCCTCTTCAAGCACAATTTTTGCACTGAATAACAAGAAATGTAATGAGATGAGACGAGCTTTAACATGAAAACAGAATGGGGGCTAATTTTCACGTGTTAGCTGCTGCTGTGAAAACAAAATTCAAAAGTAACATAACCAACTAAAATATCAACTCAAAGTCACTCATTCTTTGAAATCCAAGGAATCTTGTCAGTGCAAAATTTGTCATAAATGAATGGATCATCAAAATGCCAAACATCAAGCAGTTCTAGGCAGTCCACGATGTTGCCAACTAGAAATAAGTTTTCAGAGAAGCATGCTGTTCTCAATGTGAATGTTTTGGTCATAAATTGAATTCAGATATATAATGGAATAATGGTGATTAGGATGTGACGTAAAAAGAAAATGAGAACAAAATTAACTATAATAGAAAGAAAATTATATAACTATAATAGTTTATTTTCTAGCTGAATGCATCACAATTGTAGTGGCTTTTTATCTCATAATTTTGCTTCAAGGATGCTAGGTTTTCTGTGTGAATAAAAATGAATAGGTTCTCATCACACTTCTATCTAAAGCCAAATTTACTGTTTTTTCTTCTCAAATTCAGAAATTTGATGATACGTGAATTCAGTTACCTTTTTGGACCCTACAATTCAAATAAACTTCCTGTTGAATACATCAAAGGAAATTCAGCTGATCATCCTTTATATCAACCACAAAAGCTATCATCTAGTGTTAGTCACATCATTTTGTTTTATGGTCAAACATCGACCACTAGGTTTCAAATGCTCCCTTGGATGATCATGTATTTAAGGCATTGGAGGATCATGTTGGGCATGCTTCCTAGCCTGCAGTTAAATAATCGAATAAATTGTTGCAAACAAAATACCTATTCTCTTTATTAGATAAATTAATAATTTTTTTGACAAATCGCAGATATATTCGATGAGATCTTGTTGAAAAGTCAACACTCTTGTTATTAAACGAAATTATTAAACTAACAACTTTTGAAAGTTTAAGTACCGATTCTTGCAAACTTGATTTCATGTTGTATAAAAATGGTTTGTTAGTTTACTTCATAAGTTTCCTTTTTATTTAGTTTTAGTGCATATTTGTGGGTCACACGGAGTGTTTGAATAATAAGTGGCTTCTAGAAAATGGGTATAAAGTGTATGTTTGACAAACTTAAAAATTATCATCACCAAACATGCTGCTAGATAGCTCTGAAATAGTTAAAAGGGAACTAGGTGTATATTTTTACATATTTTATTGCATTTAAACATTTTTTGTTTGCTTTCACAGAATTTTTTTTTTTTAGCTTGGTCATTTGGATCTTTACTTTTCTTATGTTGAGTTACCGGTTACATTTTTTGCATGCTATAAATAGATAAAGATATCAAGATGGATAAAAAGAGTGAACTTTTTCAAGTGCTACAATCCTACAACCAGTGCACGAAGATTGGTATCCATATATTTATTATCGCTTCCTTTTTTTGGTTAAATTAAAATTTTTGTTTTAGGTATCTTGGCTTTCATTCTTAATTAAAATTCTGTTTTCTATGGTTTTATCTCTTTTTTACCACTAGAAATTTTATCTCGTGTTTAGAACTAGGATTTAATATGCTTAGCATTTTATTGCATATAATGAAAATTTGGGTGATTGGTTTATTCTGTGCCTTCATACGATGTGAACAGATGAATAAAAAATGTTAAAAAGTAAATAAGTTTTCCCCACAAAGTCTTGTGTCATGAATTACGTTAAAATGCTTTGTATACCTGGAAGACAATATCAAAATCTACAGGACTAAAGGAAGTTTGTGATCTCGATTACATGATACCACTAACAATTTTATAGAATCAACGATATAACTTGCTCCCGTACCAAGCTATTAAAAGCCTACACAGATGCTAGGGAGTTTTTTTTTCCCATTTTATACCTTAAGAGTAGAGATACATAAATATCTAAACAATGTCTTCATGATGACAGTTAGGATGTGCGTTAAACTGGAAATGACTCTTAAATGTTTAAAGAGTTTTACTATGACCTAATTCCATTTAACTTATTGTTTGTAGGAACTTCCAATGGCTTTCAGTTTACAATTACGAGGAGCTCTACCAGATAGGGCATTCCTTCGAGATCGTCATACAAATCTGTGGCCTATAAAAACGGAAAAAATTGACAATATCTGGTTTTTTTGTGATGGCTGGGAAAAATTTGTTCAAGATAACTCTTTGGAATCACGGGATGTCCTCGTGTTTCAATATGATGGGGAAAATTTATTTGATGTAAAGCTATTGGGGTTATCAGGTTGTGACAAGGAGGGTCATGCATATATCAACATGAGTGTTGAGGATAAGAATGAAGAAGACGGTGTAGCAAAAGCAGTGCAAGTGGCTGATGGTAAGTCATGTGATTATTTCTGCCCGTTTTTCCTAATTAATTTTATTAGGTAATTCATTATTTTGTCAAATTTAATCCCAATGACACAGCCGATTAAGATGGAGGTAGCAAAGTGCATGATATTGAAAGCAATGAAGGCCTATATCACACAGAGTCAGAGGATGACACTGAAGATCGTATTCATGATAGTGGTGACAATGCCGAAGAGTACATGGAGAATTTGGAAGACAAAGACAAGGATGCTGAAGATGAGGATGGCGAGGAGGAAGACACTAAAAGCAATGAAGATAAGACTCAAGAAGATGAATTAGATGTTGAGCAAGCGGCCGATGGTAAGTTCTGCATATATTTATTCCCATTTTTCCCAGTTGATTTGGTGTATAACTTTCAGTTTGTATAATTTCATTCTGATGGTATTGGTTGGTTATGCTGGACCAGGTCAACGTCCTCTCAATTCTTATGGTAATGATATTTTCAATTCCATCTAAAGCAAAGTTGTTTTCCTCTTTTAAAGTTGTTTATACTTGAACTCACTTACCTTTTGGGACCCCTCAAGTGAATTTCCTGTTGTATACATTAAAAGAAATTCAATTAATTATCCTTTGTATCAACCAAAAAAGCTATTATCCAATGTTACACATATATTTGAGTTTCTTGGATACTAATATGCCAAATGCTCCCTTGGATGATCATATATTTAAGGCATTACAGGACCATGTTCTGCATGCCTCGCTTGTAGTAAAATAAATGTATGAGTTGTTACAAAAGTTACCGACTCTCATTGTTAGATAAATTACTTATTTATTTGAATATTGCTGATACATTGGATGAAATCTTGCTGATAAAATCAACATTCTTCTTATTAAAGAGAAGGTATTAAATTAACAACTTCTGCAAATTTAATTACTGATTCTTGCAGAATTGATTTAATGTTATATACATGTTTTGTTAGTTTATTTTATTTTCTTCATATTCTTCTATAGTACATAGTTGTGGGTTCTATGAAACATGTGAATAATAAGTGGTTCCTACAAAATGAATAAAATGTGTCTTTGACAACTTGAAAAATTATTTCTGCAAAACATACACTTGGACGAACTCAGAAAAAAGCTAAAGGAAACTAAGCGTATCTAATATTTTCTGCGTTTTCAAATTTTTTGTTAGCTTTTCACTGAATACTTTTATAAGCATGGTCTCTGATCTGCCGTATATTGAGTTGCCAATTGCATGCTGTAAACAGATAAGGATATCAAGATGTTTAAGCCAGTGAACTTCTTCAAGTGCTACAATCGTAAAACCAGCGCATAAGGATTGGTATTCATTTATATATTATCTTTGTTTCCTTTTTTGTTAATTTAAAATTTTATTTTAGGGATCTAGGATTTTGTTCTTAAAGTAAAATTCTACTTTGCCTGGTCTTACCTTGCTTTTACCACAGGGATTTAATATGCTTAGTATTTCCTGACATATCTATTGCGATCCAGGATAATGAAAATTTGGGTGATTAGTTTATTTTTCGCCTCGTATAATGTGAGCATAAGAATAAAAGTTGTTAGAGAAATAACTTTAGGACACAGATTTGTAGTGTCAAGAATTAGGTAAAATTATGCTAGAGAATTTTTTTACCCTATTTTATTCTTTTAGAGTGTGATATTTAAAGATCTAGACAAAAACTTCATGACAGTAAGGAAAATGTGCATTGAACTAGAAATGGCTCTTCAATGTTCAAAGAGTTTTGCTATGGTCTAATTCCATTTATCTTATTGTTCGTAGGAACTTCAAATGATCTTTAGTTCACAATTACAAGGAGCTCTACCAGAAAGGGTATTCCTTCAAGTTTGCTACAAAAATCTGTGGCCTGTGAAAATGGCAAAAATTGATAGTGACTGTTTTTTTTGTGATGGTTGGGAAAAATTTGTTTGTGACAACTCTTTGGAATCTGGGGTTATCTTTGTTTTTCGATACGATGGAGAAAACCCATTTGATGTAAAACTGTTAGGGTTGTCAGGTTGTGATAAGGAGGGTCTTGGGCATTTCAATATTAGTGTTGACGATAAGAATGAAGAAGATGGTGAAGCAAAAGCCAAGCAAGTGGCTTATTGTACGTTCGGCATTTATTTCTGCCTATTTTCCAAAATAAATTATTATGTTATTCATAATTTTGTCTAATTTAATTCTAATGGTATCAACTGATTAAGATGGAGATAGCAAAGAGTATGATGTTAAGAGCAATGAAGACCTACATTACATGGAAATTGATGAAGACGAGGATGCTGAAGATGAGAATAGCGAAGAGGATGACACTGAAAATAAGACTCAAGAAGAAGGTGAACCAGCAGTGGATCGAGTGGCTGTCGGTAAGTTTAGCATATATTGATGCCCATTTTTTCTATTAATTTTATGCTTATCTTTCAGTTTGTATAATTTCTTACTAATGATATTGGTTGGTTAAGGTCGACCAAGTCAACGTCCTCTCAATCCTTACGGTAATGACCTTTTCAATTCTGGCTTGGCTATCCGGCCAAGAAATCCTTACTTTGTCACTAAAATCAGGAAATCAAGGCCGAATGATTTGGTAAGGCTTGCATTCATGTTCCTAAATGACTGCAGCTTATAAATCTTAGATATTTTTTGGTGCTTTGAGTAAATAATGGATAATTTGTGGCAATATATCCCAAGGAGAATCAAGGACTTCCAGCTGCACAATCTACCTGAAGAGATGTTCCTCATTGATCCCCAAGACAGACAGTTTCATGTGAAGATTAAAAGATGGAAGGATGACCGTGTGTGGTACCGAGGAGGCTGGAAAAGTCTCTGTGCGGTGAACTTTGTAAGCAAGGAGGATACGTGCATCTGTGAATTTGTCGAAGGTAGGTTACATGTCCAGATTGTCAGAAGAAATAATTGAATGGCATCTTAACATGTAATTTACATTATTTTGAATTTATATAAATTATAATTCTCTATTTGTTCTGGTGTGTCAACATGCTCAATTTGTCAGCACTTCTACGTTTCATCAGTCTCTGAATTTTTGATACTCATTAGCTTTTCTTCAAAGATCAAAATAGGACTTGTATCCCTGAATGAATTTTTTGCTCTTCAAACTTCAATTCTTTTACGTCTGTATGTGACCTTTTGTCAGAAAAAATGCTCGTACTCCGCTCAGTGCACATCCATGTGTACCCTAAATCATTAAAAACACCCTTTTTTTTATTGTTATATTTCCTTTCCAATAGTTTGTGTTCTTTTTTGTTTTTATGCTTCACCATTATTTTCTATTCTGAAAATTAAAATAAGGTGTGTCATGTACAAAAAAATAAAAAAAATAAAAGAAAATGAAATAAAGAAAAGAAAAAAGGGTAACATGCAAGGAAATGGGAGGGAGAAAATTAGGAAAAATGATCTTAATGAACAAGGTTATCTATCATGAATGATTATAAACATTAGTCTAGGTGCCCTAATTTATTGTTTAAAATATAAAAATGCATCACAACGCACTCATGATCAATCGAATAGCTCATTGCCACCTGATTACAGATAATTGTGCAAGGTTCAAAAAGATTCAGTCAACTTGAAAAAGGGATTACATAGCTCGAATATTGTTTTTGAAATATTCTGTTTATTGTCTACATTGTTTGATACAAAAAAGTATTATTATGTAGGATTTTTAATTATAAGAGTCTGTTTAATTATATTATTGAGAGTCACAAAAAGATAAAGTCAAATACTTCAGCTTAACCCCCGATATATGGGAAACACATTTTCTATTTTAAGATCCAAAGAATCACTCATGTGACATCACTGCTAAACTGGGACTATTTGACAGCTGGTCGTCTAGATGGCTATACAACATTAATATACAAACTCAACCTGGTTGGTTGCCTTAGAAGACAAAATTCACTCCGTTGCAAGTTTTTCCCAATTTATATGATTTAAGTTGGTTGTGTAATTAAGTATGCTCATTTGGTCTAACCTATGTTATTTACATGGTTTACCTTTGAAAATTTACTTTTGCAACAAACTATAACAAAAAAAGTTTCAGGTCGTTAAATCATATTAGAGTTAGTAGTCACATAAGCCCTGAATTAGTTAAAAGTTTTAGTTTCTATTTAATCTCGATATTTATGCGATTAAATATTTAACTATCTTAATTGTAAGAAAAAGCATTCCATTATTGGGCTTCAATTGAAGGTCAAATTATTTTGAGGATAAAGGCCTTTTAAAAAGGCCATTTGAAGCTCTTAGGAATTTTATTGACATCATACGAGATAAAGTTTCATTACCATAAATTTAAGGAGGTTAGTGATTAATTAAGTTCCGAATTCTAGAACTCCAAGTTGAATTGAAAACCATCCAAATCAAGAGGGAATTTCGGCCATTTAGGACTCAATTGGAACCAAACACAAGCATAAACTTGGCTGTAAAGAAAATAAATTGGCAGAGAATTACATTTTTGAAGAGAAAAGTGACAAGTGTATTTTATAAACTTGTCTCAGTCATTAAACTAGAACAATTATTATTATTATTTTAAGTGAATTGTGGTTTAATTTTGTTCACATTTTATTTGTTAGGTTTATCTCACTAAAAAACAGTGGAAGTGGACGAAAGGGAAGAAAATTTGGCCAAAATTGACTGAATCCAAAGCTTGGGGACCAAATCATAAGTGTTAATAGTTGATTTGGACCTAATATCATGATTGGAGAACGTGTGCAATCAATTAGATGGAATTGGATGGTAGACACAAAAAGAAGATATCCAAAGGTACAAAAATGAGTTAAGAACGAAATTGAGGGACCAAAATGTAACGAAAGGAAAATTTTCACAATTGTGCTCGCATGTAGGCCAATTCTTTCACATGCACGACACCATACAATCCATTTACCTAGAGCAAAATTAGTGATCCGTGCTTGCAAAGTGAACTAAATGGCGTGCGTGCGAGGGCCATTCTAGGTTTAAACGGTGCAATGTTCTCTTTTGACCTAAATTCATCTGGAAATCAAATACAACCAACTATTTAGTCCAAAGGGGATTGCCAAAACCATACCACCACATAATATACATATTTTTCATCACAAGAAAGAGACTAGCACGTAATGCAAAGGCAATTAACACGAGATTTAAAATTCAAAGTTTGTTGAAGATTTTCGAAGAAGAAATTGATTTTTTACTTTCCAATCATTGTTTTCGATTTTGAGTGATGTTTTTCAAATTTTTTGTTTTGATTTGTTTAATTCTTTCCATGTATTGAATGAAGATGAAATCTTTTATTATTTATTTTTAATTCAAGACGAGTAGTTTAGTTAAATTCTTAACATTCTTAATTAATCTTGCATGTCTAATTTCATTATTTGATTGCATGATTACCAATTTAATATATAGTTGCATGTTGTAGCACTGAGAGGCTCACTATTTAGAACACTGTTTGATTAAAATATGAGCAATAAATGTTATGAATACTATTTATCATATGCACAATATTTTAGATAATCCTGAAGTTGAATGTATTCTATTCATTCGAATATGGACTATGAATATATTCAGCTCGTGACTAGAATAGATTTAATTTTTCTTGAAAAAGGGAATTAAATACCATAGATTTATATATTGTCAAGAATTTATGAACGAAATTATTTATGAAATTCAAAATTGAAATAGATCATAATAAGAGGATTCGTAGTCCAATAAACTCATTACATATACATACAAACCTTGAGTTTTACACGCTTTCGTAGATTAATTTTGAATAACTATAAACCATAAATTTCTTTGTTTGCTTACTCTAAATACGATTTAAACTAGTACATTTGGTTCAATTTTATTCCTCATGGAATGACACACGCTATTCATCACATATTACTAGCAGGATTTCGCCGAACAAGTTTTTGGCGTCATTGTCAGGGAATAATTTATTTAATTTGAGTTTATTATTATTATTAATTTTTAGATTTGAAGTTTTTATTTGATTTAGGCTATTTAGTGAGCGAACAAAGTCTCTTGTTTTACTTTTTTCAGGAAATCATAGTTTATGCGAAATTCTAATAAGATCGAGCTTCTTCCGATAGGTCCCGAAGAGATTGCAAAAAATGTACAGTCGATTCACTAGATCCACTACCACTACATCAGCCAATTCAACTAGATCAACTAAGGACATTCGTAAATGTTAAAGAAGCTTCAATGAAGGATTATATAAATCACATTCTGGCTCCTATGCAACCACCTATCATATATCAACATTTTAAATAGGCCAAATTCCACATAGACCTGACATCATCAACTTATTTCAGAATCATCATGACATCAGGTTCTCTAGAACATCAACAAAAAATCCTCGTAAATATATTCAGGCCTTCTTGATACTTTACAATATGATCAACCACAAAAACATGTCTATTGATGCATTTCGACTACGCCTATTCCCTCACACTTTAAAGGAACGAGTAGGAGAATGACTAAATTCCCTAATTTCTAGGAACATCGTTTCATAGAATGACATGATGTAAAAATTCACTTTGAAATCTTCCAGCCATCTCGAGTCCATAATATTTGAAATGATGTTCATACTTTCAAGCAAAAGAATCTCAAGAGTTATCCAAAAGCATGGAAAAGATTCAAAGACTACTTTAGGAAGCGCCCCAACTATGAACATTCATAAAGACTCTGATATTTAAATATTCTATTCAAGCCTGAGACCTAAATTCTGTAACATAGTTTCAGTGCAAAGGTCAATCTTGTATATTCCATTAGACAATTCCTTAGAATTTTTTAAAAGAATTGTAGAGAATCGATCTATGTGGCCAATAGGCAAGGAAGTGTTATGGAAAGTAGCAATAACACATAACATTGATATAACTACATCATTAGCAGCTCAAATGGAAACATTGACAACCAAGTTAGATAGCCTTACTCAGAATGTGAACATGGTACAATAGCAATTAGTTAGTTTGTGAGAAGCCAAATCATATTAAAGAAAGATGTCCGCTATCCTCCACGCATCTAATCCAGCTTGAGAAGGTCGATTATATGTAGAACTTTCAAAGGTAAAATGAGCTTAAATGAATAAAGAATGAAATGGAGGGACAAAAATGCCACAAAAGGAAAATTTTCACCAAGGTCCTTGCAACCAGTCCAATTTTCGCTTGTGCAACGCACCCTATGTCCATTTATTGAGAGCAAAATCAGTGATCGTAGGCAAATTGTGAACTATATGGTGCACGAGAGAGCCCTTTCTTGCCTGAACGGCCTAGTGTCCTTCTTTGACCTAAATTCTTTCGAAATAAAATGCAACCAACTATTTGTCGGAATGGGATTGCTATAACTAAACTGCAACATAATATACATATTTTTCTTTAGAAGAAAGAGGTTGGCATGAAACTCAAAGGCAATTAATACAAGAGATTGAAGATTCAAAGTTTGGGTTGAAGATTTACGAAGAAGAAATTGAATTTTTAGTTGCCAATCATTGTTTTCGATTTTAGGTGATGTTTTCTAAACTTTTTGTGTGATTTATTAGATAATATGCTAGGCTAATTATTTTAATGCACTGGATGAAGATGAAACATTTTATTAATTATTTTTAATTCAAGATAAGTAGTTTAGTTAAATTATTGCAATCCTTGATTAATCTTGCATGTTTAATGATGTGCAGAAGGAATTGAACATCATGAAAAAGTGGGACTGGGGCAAGCAGAATAGGCAACTTCGTGTTTTTGGAGAAATGTTGGGGTTGTCCATTTTGGACGAAATTTAGTCTAATTAGATCGGAAATGGGCCAAGGAAGATGTAGTCTTTGGCCAAATTCCTTCATTTAAGCTTTTTTTAGTTTTTGGTAAATTTTATTTTGGTTATAACTCTTTCAATTTAACTCGAATTGAATTCCATTTGTTCGAGGATAACCCTAAGATTAGGAGTTTCAATTTTAGTCATTATCTTAAATTTTCCATTTTTGGAATTTTTTTTTATTTTCCAAATTTTCTTAGGGTTTTTTCCTATATAAGGCATTGTAGGCCTTTTGTGGCAACATTGTTTTGACAGAAATAATTTTTTTGTGAATTTTTTCCATCTCGTGAGATTCAGACATCTTTCCTATAATCTTTTCGCTATGTCAATTGGTATCAG